CAATACCGAGAGCTATTTCACTTAACCTAGTTTGACAGTCCCCATCCACCAAAAAGCTAACAGAGGATTCTTATAGCTTCATATTTATACGGACACCTTTATAGTAGCCCCGACTGTGCCCCAAGTGTGCCCCAAGTAACTTTGTGCCCCGACTGTGCCCCAAGTAACTTTGTGCCCCAAGTGTGCCCCAAGTAACTTTGTGCCCCGACTGTGCCCCAAGTAACTTTGTGCCCCGACTGTGCCCCAAGTAACTTTGTGCCCCAAGTGTGCCCCAAGTAACTTTGTGCCCCGACTGTGCCCCAAGTAACTTTGTGCCCCGACTGTGCCCCAAGTAACTTTGTGCCCCAAGTAACTTTGTGCCCCAAGTAACTTTGTGCCCCAAGTGTGCCCCAAGTAACTTTGTGCCCCGACTGTGCCCCAAGTAACTTTGTGCCCCAAGTGTGCCCCAAGTAACTTAGTGCCCCAAGTGTGCCCCAAGTGTGTCCCGGGAATTTAAATTTTGGGCCCCAAGTGTGCCTAGCTAGATTACCAACTGGCCTACCACATAACAAATATAACGGACCATCCACACTCTTTTGATACCCACTAAAACAGTCAGGATAATTCCTTAAAAACCTTAAAATTTAAAATTGAGCAGATTTCAGATGTGTTGTGAGAGCTGACCATTATTGTAAACTCAATATTTATATGTATAATAATAACCACGTTAATGCAGGTGTCATAACTTGAACGACAATCTTTACAAGGTGTACCATCACTATAAAAACTGATGAAAGGAAATACAACGATCAGCAAATATGTATAGTTGTCAAGAATGGATGTGTAGGCTGCAAACTTTGACAAGCGCAGCCTTTGATTTAGGTTAGAAGGATAGAGGTCTGCAAGGTCATTACTGTGATCTAAACTCTAAGGTTTTGGTCGAGCACAGCAAGGCTGACTGATACAACGCTATTCGTCTATGTTACTGAAGGAAGCTGGTAAAAGCTCTAAAGAGGAACTGCGAACCCTGATGCAGGACAAGGATGTAAAATAATGTAGGGGGTGATCTGGCATAGATCGGACTTAGTTCCGACCTAGTAGTAGTATAGTAAAACCCCGATTTACCCCAAACCCCGATATACCGCGGCCATCTCCTTTCCCCTAAATAGGGCTTAACATGTATAATGTAAACAAACAAAACCCCGATTTACCGCGAACCGCGATTTACCGCGGAGTATGCATCGGATGTTTCCTTCCCCAAACTCCGCGGTAAATTGGGGTTTTACTGTAGTCAACTAAAAGTAGTAAAACTTGTTGACGAATCTGATATGCGTTCGACAAGACCTCCCTCTTTCGCACTTGAGTTCATGTCGCACTACAGTCTAGGTAGCGTACTGAAGTGCGACATTGTCGATCTTGGAGGTTTTCGCACTAGGGTACGTGTCGCACTACAGTACGGGAATCGTCTTTGATTTAGGAGAGAGGTCTGTAGAAACCTTACTGTCATTTACACTCTAAGGCTTGTGTGTTTCTGTTGAAAATATCTGATGATTCCGCGCATAACATTGCTACAAATGAAAAATGCTCTTTTTAGGTAAGGAAATTTGTCATCGTTTCGATGTAAATACATCATATTCATGTTTCCTAAGGTCTGTATGTGAGCGGGAATTTGTGAGATCTGGTAGTTTGCTTTTGGCTCTGTGTCAACTGCAAATTCTCAAGTGCACAAGAAAGCGGTAATTTTGAGGAGGAAATTATCGCAGATGTGCTGTGTTAATTGGTGCAATAAATCCAGAACAATGATGGTGAAATCTTGCTCGACAAATATAAATCCAGCTGCATTCCATAAACACGTACAATTTATTAATTTATTAATTTATTGTACGTGACATGGCAACTGGTCTTGATATCACAACTGTTGATTGCTAAATCCAGAACAATGATGGTGAAATTTCGACTTTCGACCGATGGCGGATGTTATCTCCAGGCTGGCTGGTTGCTCGACATATAAATCAAGCTGTACTGCATTCCATGAACAGTCACGTACAATTGTACGTGACTTAATTTATTAATTAATTGTACGTGGTAATGAGATCACTACTTTTAATTGCTCTTGTTATGGCTGGAGTAAGGAAAAACTTGTATAAGCAATAGTCAATGATTGAGACGGATGAGAATGTGATGACACGATCATTCCATAAAACTCATGGTTGATATAACAGCTGGAATTTAGATTTCAAAGCTGTTAAAGCAATTAGGATGCCAGGATGGTCAAAACTCAACAACTCTAGTTTTTATCAAAAACATGAAAAATGTTTGTGTTGCATTCTTCTCCAAAGTAAATCTGATGTTTCTCTGGTAGAATTAGAAAAATTAATGTTTATTAACATTCTTCTCCAGTAAGTAGTTCCAATTAATATAATATGAAACATTCGAAAAATCGAATGTTTCATTTGTAAAAGTCAAGAAACATATTGTCTACATTCCTCTGCAAAGTAACCCTAATATAAGTAACGTAACTAATACTCCAATATAACTTGTATTTACGGGAGAGAAATCGGTTCTTTTGCGATAGTGTAAACGGGACAACTATCGCTGGATGGCGACAACTAGCGCTGGATAGCGCTAGCTGTCGCAATCTTATGTTTCACGTGTAAAACAAGTTGTGCATTATATTATTCCCCACAGTAACTATAACTTATAATAATATAATACTGATATTTAGAGGACAGAAATCTAATTGTTCTCTTTTTAAATCAATAAAAGTTATTCTCTATTTTATTTTTCTCTAAATTAATTGTAGTAGAAATCTACAGGAGACTTGTAAGTTGTAACTTTGTAAAATTATCATATAAAATTTTCTTGGATTATTAACTAATTCAACAAAGTTTTACTCACATATTGTAAGTTATTTTACTAAATTGCCATAGTAACTGAAATACTCACACGCAAGCTCTACGTGACCAATAGTAACGGTTACCTTAGTAACTAAAATTACTCACATGTAACTGTGCGGAGGGGCTGGCATCTCCTCTGCTTTTCTTTCGGAACTTTTCTTCTTTAACCCTTTTACCCTATTGAGAAGATTTTGTTGCATCGTGCCCGTTCTTTTCAAGGTGCACGATAACAACTATACTTTTCTCCTTTTCTCCTCCAAAATTCTACTCAGACCAGCTTCTGAAAACTGTTTTGTCTGATGATTATTCCTCTTGTCAGTAACTATGACAACTAAAAAATACTCTCTTGATAGTATTATATATGCGTACTTTAACAACGAAATTTATCAATGAAGACCCGTCTTAACAAATCACACATCAAACTCAAGCAAAATCAGTAGAAATTAGAAATTAGAAAGATCATTACAATTTTACATGTGTCAGATCCAAGGTTACCTTGCTCGAATACAGTGCACGTTATTATCAGTACTGATTTTAGTAGTGATACTATAAAGTAGGGAGGAAGTGCACACTGTAATTCACAAAAATAGGAGTGAGATCAGGTCAAATAACGAGGTAGAAATATCAAAAGAAAGATTAGTAGAATCAGCCAACGTTTGGGCGGAAATTGTTCCAAAATTGTTCGAAATTACCATAGGTAAACACTAGTGCACATTGTTTGAAATTATAATTGCAATGGTCTGCACTGCAGTAGATAATAAGATTATAGAATGAACTAAAGTGATATTATGCATTTCCAACCCACCGATTACAACATAATATGAAACTTATTAATTATAAAATTAATTAATTACTGTTACGTCGAAACACATCTCCGACCAAAAGCATTCCAAGGAATATGATAAAAACAGTAACCATGACAACAGGAACATGCTTAGTGCTAACACCATAAACAGAAATTAAATAACAGCTACTGTTTTATTATATCTGAAAATACCAAGACCCAACTATAATGAGAAAACAGTAAACATTACAACTCAAAACAGTATAACTGTGACAACTAAAAACAATTACTATGACAATTATGACAAACTAGTAAAGTATCAACTAACAAGGTTTCGATGCTAGTAAAAGTGTGATTATAGTTTAGTTATATACAGTGAGCTAATATAGTTGTCATGGCTACTAGTTGTCATGGCTACTAGTTGTCATGGCTACTAGTTGTCATGGCTACTAGTTGTCATGGCTACTAGTTGTCATGGTCAGATTGAGATATAGTTCTCACTAGTTAGTACGACAATGACACGCCATTTTACATCATTTTATCTGACTCCCACGTTACTAGGACATTGAAGCCGCCCTAAGTCAAAGTCCCACGTTTAATTTACTAATAGATCTGCAGCTTTTTCAGAGCCACTGCCGCCACTTAAGTAAAAAACCAGCGGTGTGCAGCTTCACTGCAAGGCGTGGAATTAGGTACTCGCTTGCTTTTAACAGTTAATTGTGGGTGTCCTGAATACCTGTTTTTTGGGAACATGTCAGTACTAACGAGCAGAAGCAAATGGTTGCCACGACGACCAAAACAACAACAAACCCTGATCAAGAAATTATAAATGAAAATTGCCATGGTCCATGCAGACGAACCAATTTGTTGGTTTTCAGAATATCGTCATTCTGATTGCGTTTAATTAACCAGATTCATAGTCACAGCGAGAACAGTGGTTAGCATATGTTATTATGCATGAGGAAATATTTTAGCATAATATCATAAAATTTTTTAGCATATCTATCATTAAAGCATTAACAAAGTTGTACAATTAACGAGATCGGCCGTTAAAAGAATTCGACGTTAACTTGTTGTGAACACGTCATAGTGAAGTCAAAAGATTTGGCCTGTCTCCTCAGCTTACGAATTTGTCGACCGTGAAAATATGACTATTCTGTTATAAAAGTGTGGCACGATACCGCGTGACCACTTTAAGGGTGACATGAATTTGTGGTTATAACATGGTTTAGGAGACAGGCCAACTTGATACAGGGCCACATAGATACAGTGTCATAATTGTAATGTTTTGCAAATTTTTACAAATACCCAAATTGTTACGTTTATACCTTATCTTTCAGTTGGCAGCAGGAGAAGAGGAGAAAGCAGCAGTCAGCATCCAATCCCGATACAGAGGTTATAAAGCAAGAAAACATTTGGGTCTGCATGCTTCCAATATTTTACTTGAAAAAAAAAACAAACAAAAAAAACATTTGTAACAAGATTACGATTAGACCTCTTTGAAATGTGACAATTTCGACACACTTCTAGGACTATTAGACACTAGACAGAGTAGGTTTTAAAGCGCTAATGTTCTCTGAATTTCTCTGAGAACTACAATGTCTTTTTTGACTTTTTGCGGAGCAATATTAGTGAAGAAGTCTAATTGTATTCGACAAACGTACAGCTGTAGAGGGATGAAACAAATTTTTTCAAAATCAAATCTTTCAGCCGCAGAACCAGCAGCAGCCGCTCCCGTAGAAGCCGCTCCAGCAGCCGAAGCTGCCCCAGCAGAAGCCGCTCCTGCAGCCGAAGCCGCCCCAGCAGCCGAAGCCGCTCCAGCAGCAGAAGCTGCCCCAGCAGCCGAAGCCGCTCCAGTAGCCGAGGCACCAGCAGCCGAAGCCGCACCAGCAGTCGAAGCTGCACCCGAAGCCGAAGCCGTACCAGTAACCGAATCCGCACCAGTAGCCGAATCCGCACCAGTAGCCGAATCCGCACCAGTAGCCGAAGCTGCACCATCTGCCGAAGCCGCACCAGCAGCCGAAGCTGCACCCGCTGCCGAAGCCGCGCCAGCTGCCGAAGCTGCACCAGCTGCCGAAGCCGCACCAGCTGCCGAAGCCGCACCAGCTGCCGAAGCCGAACCAGCTGCCGAAGCCGAACCAGCTGCCGAAGCTGCTCCAGCTGCCGAAGCCACAATAGCAGCCGAAGCTGCTCCAGCTGCTGAAGCCGCACCCGCTGCCGAAACACCAGCAGCAGAGGCACCAGCGGCAGAGGAACCAGCAGCAGAGACACCAGCAGCAGAGGCACCAGCACCAGCAGCAGCAGAGGCACCAGCAGCAGAAGCCTCTCCAGCAGCAGAAGCCGCTCCAGCAGCAGAAGCCGCTCCAGCAGCAGAAGCCGCTCCAGCAGCAGAAGCCGCTCCAGCAGCAGAAGCAGCTCCAGCAGCTGAAGCCGCACCCGCTGGCGAAGCCGCCCCAGCAGCTGAAGCACCAGCAGCAGAGGCACCAGCAGCAGAGGCCGCCCCAGTAGCCGAAGCACCAGCAGCAGAAGCTGCACCAGCAGCCGAAGCTGCACCAGCAGCCGAAGCCGCACCCGCAGCCGAAGCTGCACCCGCTGCTGAAGCTGCACCCGCTGCCGAAGCTGCACCCGCTGCCGAAGCTGCACCCGCTGCCGAAGCCGCACCAGCAGCCGAAGCTGTCCCTGCTGCAGCCCCAGTAGCAGATGCCGCCGTCGAAACGCCGGCAGCCCCCGCCGCAGCGCCTCCCGCAACGGAAGCAAAACCATCTGAGTGACAATCTCAAACTAAAATTAATCTGTTATATAGTACCTGAATATACCTTTGCTTTTTAATGTTGAAGAAAATTGGCCGACTGGGCGGTTGATGTTGATTGCTATGCAATTCAGATCTTGTTCTTTAAGCGCGATTAAAAGTTGTTAGATTGTATGAATGGGCTCGCTAAAATCCGATGAAGATGGAAACCTAACATGTTAAAATACAATGGAAAAGAGGTATAATAGCTGATATAACCAAGTCATGAGTTGTACGATTGTGTTCTTCTTGTGAGCTATGTAACGAAATATAGGTAGGTACTCTTTAAACATTTGGTTATGGAAATAAGATTACTAAAATTCAGTCCTACAATCTTTCATGTGAATTCGTTAATTCTTTTATTCAAGTAATTAGTATGATATGGATTCCTTTTTGATCTATATCACATCCTGATCGCTGCATGAGCAGAGCGTAAACATTCGTTCAGTTAACTTGAGTTGGGATTTTTGGAGCTTAGATTTATTGCTTGGCCAGACTAATAATATGCTGGATCTCAAGAAATATCCTATTCCGATGATAACTGCATAAACATCACAATTAGTTTAACATTTGATTGTTCAACGCATCCATAACAATTTTAGCAAATTGGTGTTTTAGTTTTAAACATCATAAGTCGTTAATCTAAATGCTTATGTGTTTTAAACGATTTATGTTTTAAATGTAAAGTTTACTTGCACTGATCACAAAGAATTTAGAATGGCATTGTAAATTTGGATTGAAAGATGCGAGTCAAAGAGATTTCTACAATCCTAAAGATTAACTTCAAAGAATCGATTCGTATCAAATGCGAAACATTATTAAATTCTTGTGCGATGAATGATTGAATAAATCAAAATATCAAAGAGTCCAATTTAAGTTGACTATTTACCGATATATATAATTTGGTATATCCTCCATTGGACAGTTATCATCGGTTAGTATATTGTTAGTCATGAAGTAAAGTATTCAGAATAACTATACTAAATACTGAATGTGTATAATATAGAGTCACAATTTGGCCCATTTCTCCTGATACCATATAGTTTGCAGAATGTTAATATATCGCAATGATATGTAAATAGCATTAAATAAACTTTAAGCTTGGTTTATACTTATTGTGGGCGACAATTATATACAGTGTGCATGGGCCACAAGTAACGTTACAAACTTTGGCCTTTATAGCTCAGTCACTGATGGTATAAGGCCCAACGTATGCAAATTGTAACGTTACTTTTGGCCCACCTTGTAGTTATGTAATACACGTTCAGATTTTACTTGCGGAGGGATTTTAATTATCTTCGTTGTAAATTGGTTAGCATTTAATATATAATAATAGCTCCACCTTTTACAAGGACCTTGTTGTTTTCTTGCTTCCAGATAAAATGTCTTTCTTTCGATGATGAAATCAATTAAATTATTAAAGTAGTTCATCTAGTTTAAACTGTTTCAATTCAATAGTTTGTAATGGTCCTTGCTTCATAGCATAATGAGTATCACACCAAAATTTCCAAAAATTAAGTTTTATTTTAAAACTGTTAAAATCTGTAGCAGACCAAGTTGGAAGTTGGAACCAGGCGGATACGCGGAAAATGTCATGAGTCAGCCTTGAGACATAAAGAGTTAGTAAGATATCAATGGCACGACATAATTGACGTCATAAAATCAGTGACGTCTTAAGTGATACGACATCACTTTTAGTACCACAGCAGCTACATACGTCAATGTCACCATAGCAGACGCAGAACTATTTAACCCTGATTATAAACGGCGGGTTTTCAATGCTGAACTATGACAATAACATAACTAGCAGCTAAAAGTTTATATGGACAATACATGCAGGTTTTAACATTCGGTGAAAAATATGATGTCATGTTAATACATATTTAGAAAATTAAGTGAGACAGGTAAAAGTGTAAAATCCGGATTGGAACATTATTTATGAGTCGCATATAGTTGAAATGTTTCTCGGGTAAAATTTGTATTGAACGAACCCGTTTGCTGCGACAAAGAAATGGCTCTTATCAGGAAAGGAATAGTTTGAGATCATGAGTACAATGCAATGTTGTCACATTAAAAAGTTGAATAATTCCTTTCCTGATAAGAACCTTTTCCTTGTTGCATCAAACGGGATCAATCCAAATTTTACCAAAGAAATACAATATGTAAAAGTGATAAAGTTATGCATTATGTGGCATTTTTGTGGAGGTGTATTATCGTAGAGAAGTACTGTAAAAAACTATACTATACTGTGAATGTACTATGAACGTAGCCATTAACAAACGATGTTTTCAATCCACTATTATCATGTCACCAGAATACCAGAAACCAGCCTTCTTAAGTACCAAGTAAGTAAAAAAAGAATTATCAATGAGCAAGGACGACTCCCGATATATTGTTCACCAACTATAACAGTTTTCATTAAAATATTAAATTAATCGAAATTTTAAATCATACTTACTGAAAAGCTGCAGCAATTGGCGACAATAAATAAATACACATGCGCTTGTAAAAAACTTGTTAAATATATTTTATAGACGATTTAGTATCTACGGAAGAGAACGCAAGTGGTATAGACAGAACAAGCAGACGCCTCGGTCACCAAGGTAACGTGATGAGCTGACCAATCAAGTGATGTTCCTCCCTGTCACGTGACGCTAGGCCGACCAATCACACGCGCTACAGGGCGAACCGCGTCCTGCTTATCTTTTGTTATGATGTTTTATCTTGTAGAAGATTAACTAATAACTGTACATTGAAATAAATGTGCTCATGATTATATTCCTGAGTCAGGAAACTCCGTCGTATAGCGTAAGTCCGTACGACCTTGAAGGGTCCTGTAGGGGTCATGTTTTATAACTATTATTATTAAGAATACCTTGTGAGAAATAATAAGGTAGTCGGAAATTAGGGGATTTTTGAATAAAACCTACCGGCTACCCCGTTAACAATTAATTGATTTCGACTTTATTAACTTAATAAACACGACAAAGCATGCTTGGTTACTATGACACTATTTGAACAGTTGATAGTACTGATGTATAAACTTGATTTCACCAGTAGGCAGTAGCATTAAGTCAAATTAACTACCTTACTCGGGAATATTATAACCGGGATAAAGTGGTGGGTTTTGGAAGATTCCGCCATATTTTTCCCGGTCAAAAATTTTACCAGTCATAAAAAAACCCGCCGATTCAGATTATGGGGTTCCAAGGGGTGGTGATCATCATATTTTACATGAAGTCTCATATGTGCTAGAGAAGACTTTTGAAGCAGTGGATGGAGGGCTGTAACTTTATTGGCGGTTGCTACCATAATTTCGTTATAAAAATCACAATTTGGTTATAGAAATCAGATTTCAGGGTGGACCGTGATTCTGAGATTCTCACTTCTCTTGCCCATGAATCAGTGAATCGTAGAGAAGAAAACAATTTATATGTTATAGAAGAAAAAAATAATAATAATAATATATAATATATATTATTATAATAATAATGTCTCTAAAGATTGATCGCTTCTCGTGTGCAGTGTGTAGACTAAAGAAAGAGGTAGTTTTTCCCGTTGAAGTAACTTGTGGCCACATTTGTTAGAAGTGAGTAACCTGTGCCACTATTTCATGGTCCACGGTGGATTGATTACTGGAGCAGTTGAAGATGCAATTGCAAAGCCAAGACGTTCCCAAATACCAAGCGGTGGGCAGGAAATTAAGCTCAGGCTGACCTTCAGAGCAGTAGCCCCATTAGCGGACAAAATGAAAGTCTTGTTAATACAACAATACAACTTCGAATTTGACGGTCAGCAGCTCAGGGGGATATCAATAATGATAATGGCGGGGACATTAGCGATAATGAGAATGAGAATACGCTTTAATGAAGATTTGACTTATTATTGCTTAGATTTATTTTCCTTTAATTAAAAAAAAAGTTGAAAGGTCGGCCACCGGTAAATACATGACCGGGATAATTTGGCGGGTTTTTGGAAAGTCCGCCATATTTTTCCCGGTCATTAATTTTCCCAGTCATAAATTAACCCGCTATAATATTCCCGAGTAAGGTAATTAAGTATCTCTACTATAATTCAAAGAATTATTTCTGTCTGTATGTCTGTACGACCGCCCACGTGCAAATAGATGAAAAATAGGAATTTAGGTAACAACCAAAACGTTCCATAGCAACGGTGTTTTAATGCACACATGCACGTGCAAAGATTGTTTTAACGTCATTTTGATCGGTTTTGTGGTAATTACGTTGTGTTTAAAGTGTTTTATATTTAAATCGGCTGTATCTTCGGTTGAGATGGATATTTTTTGATGCGATTAAAACTTTCTTTCAATACTACTAGCTTCGTCCCTGTTACCACGGGCTTTCTAGTTCTTACTTATAATTCAAAGAATTATTTCTGTCTGTCTGTCTGTACGACCGCCCACGTGCAAATTAGATGAGAAATAGGAATTTGCATAGTAACCATAGTAACGGTGTTGAACGTGCACGTGCAATGATTGTTGTTACGACATTTTTATCGGTTTTGTGGTAATTACGTTGTGTTCAGTGCAAGCTACATTTTAATTCCCTTTTCATCGGCTGAATCTTCGGTTGTGACGGATATTTGTTGATGCTATAAAAACTGACTACCAAAGAATACTAATACTATTACCTTCCTCCCTGTGACCACGGGCTTACTTATAATTCAAAGAATTATTTATGTACGACCGTTTTTTATCTAAAAACCAACGACCTTTACTCCTAAATTTCTGTTAAAACGGCAAATTGTTTTATAATGCAGAAAATTTAGAAATATAATGACTTAAATGCGGGAGTGTTATATATTTCATTAGTCGTAAAAGTCACGGTAACTACTACTACTATGTTAAAAATACAGAATATTGTGTAATAACAGCCTCAAAAAAACTTCTGTTCAAAGCATCGGGTTAATGCTGTGGTCTTAATTCGAAATTACTTTTAAACGGTTGAGAATTGTTTTAAGAAACTGTTTTTTGCTAGCTCAACTATTCAGCAAATTATTTACCCTTGGTGTGCATTTCGATTAAATTATACTGTTTGCTATAAGCGCGCTTTCCAGATTATCTGCTTATCCAAGGGTAGCCCATTAAAGATAAGCGGCCATTCACTCGCATTGGGTTTCTTGTTGTTCATTTTCAATATTATGTAAATACTAATAGCTGTCAACTTGATTGATAATGGCCCAATGCCCATCAGTTTAACTTTAAGCGTCAAAAGTGAAGAAAAGTGCCATGAATTAATTAATATTAAAATCTACCATGCCACCAATTTCATACAAATAAAGAAATAACAATTGGCAGGAATATGTCGTACCGTAGATTGGGGTAAAATCGCCGTGTCGGGGAACTTCGCCACTATTTTTCAAATAATCATTCATCTGTTTTGAATTGTTAGGAGATCGTTTTTTGTATAGTATTGTGTCGAACAAATGGTTATAAAGGTATTCATATTCAAAAATAAACGTTTACTATGTTAATTAAACTCAGGCAACATGAAATAATGCAATAAAGTGGCTAAAATTTCCTGCTTGCATATTTTCCATATTTTACAATTATATCCTTAATAAATTCTGTGTGACATCATTAGCATATGTCCTGTTCATTTAAGGGTGAATTTAGTTAGCCATGATGCACACAACTGATATTATAAAGTTTTCAAATTTGTGTGTGGCGAAGTTACCCTCTTCTGATCCCATCTGTTCGGCGAAGTTTGGCGCGAAATTCGCGCGCGGCTGGTGAAGTCACGCACGTGTATTGGCGAAGTTTGACTACATTTCTACTTCATCCCGGCGATGTTACCCGCAGCATGGCGATGTTACCCCGGCGACCAAATTGCCCATTGTAACACGCAGGCTAGAGCTAGATAAGTAAAATTGGCAGGTATATCAAGGAAATATAATTGAGTTTCGAGTGGTATGGTGCTTAGCACCGAATATGGTATAGTTTCAGAATGGCGAAGTTACCCCATATTGCAGGGTAACTTCGCCCTGATTTCAGTGGCACCAATCTAGCTGACTATTTATGCCTGGCTGATGTGGTTCATACGAAAACATTTGCTTTACCAATCCTGTTCATATGAGCTATAAACTTTTTCAAGTACTCGTGTCGTATTTTCTAAATAACATGAAATAGCTGTAAAACATGGCGAAGTTCCCCCATTCTACGGTATCTGATAAACAAACTGCTGACATGTTTCGGGTGACCGACAACTAGACTGAACCCAACTGAACCTATCTTTCTATATTATAATTCAAAGAATTATTTCTGTCTGTCTGTCTGTCTGTCTGTCTGTACGACCGCCCACGTGCAAATTAGATGAGAAATAGGAATTTGCATAG